ATGTGATGCTTTTACTTTTACTTGTGTATTTTTTTGCTCCAGTATCTGTACAAGCGCAAGTCTTTCTGTTTTCCCTCCAGTCTCCTTACTCTTTGAGCCCATTGACGATAACCAGAACTCACCTCTCGCGTTAAACGAAACACGGCCAATTCCTGGAACCGCCCTCCCCCGCCGCAGTCCATCTATCGAAGCGAGGCCCAGCCACGGAGCCGCGCCGTGTTATTCCGACGGGGAGTTGATTGCGCCGGAGGTTGCGGAGGTTTGCCGAGGTCAGAGGTTAAAGATGCAACCGTCCTTTGTCAACACACAATGGCCCTCCCCGACACAGGGCTCCGCTTGTATTGGCTCTACAGAGAAACCCCGAGGCCATAATGGTCAATAAGCTGTCCGCCGGATTAGCAATGGAGAGACCACACCGGAGCTGGCCTTTCTTCTCCGCTCACCGCGCGTCCATTATCAAGCCAGCGAGCGCCACAGCCTTGGAGAACCTACTCACACAAGGGCTAATCCAGATAGCACTTAAGAGCTACAGCTGCCCAGTGTTTCAAGCATCGCACATGTAAATGGAAAGAGAAAGGCCAATACTGCGCAGGAAGGCTGGATTTAAAGGGAATTAAGGTTATTAAAGGGTTATAATGGACAAGGTTGAGCTCGGCCTGTGTGGTGGCGGTGCTGGTCCTCCTACGCAGGGCCATAGAAAAGGCAGTGTTGTAAGCAGGAGATCAGACAAAAGGTTGATGGACAGTTTGAATGTGGAGTGATTACGTAAGGCTGTACTTTATAGATGTAGCGTATGAAGTAATAGTCGATCTCTTTTAGGGATGCGGCTGCTTCTGATCATTTATTTTTGAGTAATTTTGCTTCAGATTTTTCTATATAGAACGTATTTAATTTTTTGTACGTTTTCTTGTTCATTGCTTCATTTTAATTTCATTTAAGGATGGACCTGATAAGAAAAAATTCACTCAATTTTGATACTAAAGAATAGACTCGATACTTGATACTGATTTTGATACCCAAATGATTATTTTAAAATGATTTTTTTGGGCAATATTATAATTATCAACACAAAATAATTTGTTTGTTATACCATATCATTTTGCACTAGTTCTGATAAAACTCCAAGATGAAACTGTTCAAGAAAGGTAAAATTTTATTCAGTTATGTAATTTTTTATTTAAATTTTTTCAGTATTGATACTTACTTAAATGAGTATCTAGTTTTGATATTAGTATAATCATTTTATTGTAGTATAATATTAACGTTTATTATTTATATCCTTGGGAGTGACAAACAATTTTGATTCGATTTCGGTTTTGTATGAAGAATTGACAATGAACTTTTTGAATTGAATCGAACTGAATTAAATTTTTTTTCTCACTTTTGGCAACGCTAGACCTGATAAGAACTGACAAGAACTTTTTGAGCTGACACAATATATCATAACTGTCCATAATTGCTGTTTTGGTAACCTGTAACAAATATCTGCTTATCTATGACAAGATTTAACTTTTAACTTTCCACTTTGCCAAGTTTGCAAAGCCTTAGCCATAGTATACCACATATCAAAATGTTGAAGATGCAATAATAGACGTAGTAATGAATCATGCGTCTAAAAAAATAAAAAAAAAATCAAGCTGCTTTAGTGTCTTTTAAAAGCCAAATATTAAATAAATGTCCCACAAACCTCTAGAAAATAAACTGCTACATGCTATGTATTTGTAATATGGCTCGCAGGGACATCTGTTTTTCTGCAGAGCTACCAGTATTGCATTATAATCACAAATACGGCGTCTTTGAATTTGAATAACCTGATAGAAATAAATAGCTGTGAATGAAAAGTGGATGATTCGGTGCATCATTGTCACAAAGAATAATGGAAAGGGGATATAGAGACACTATAGCGGAATTTTACTGTGGGAAGTGAACGCGTAAAGGTTTCCAAGAATTACAACAAAATTCTTTACTTAAACCTCTTTCTGCTCAGTTTTGCCAGAGATTACTATTTGGTAAACTTCACTGTCATCTTCGGACCTTGAGCCAGGATCTTGGTCTGGATCTTGGTCAGGTTTATCCTACTGTGCAAGTTTTGGGTCAGCCTACAAACATACTAATAGTCACTGCCCTAGTTTGGAATCAAACCTGGGTCCTTCTTCCTGTGAGGTGAAGGTGCACTTAGCCACATTATCCTGTTTCTACCATTCAATCTTGTAGTTCTTGTTAGTATTATATATTAGGGTTGTAACAATAACCGAAATATTGTGATATCGTATCGTCAGAGTTCTCACAATAATATCGTGGACCATCACAATATATCGAATTTGAAAAGTCTCTTTGTCTATTTCTGCTCCATAAATCTTAATTTAAACAGAGGGAACTACATAGACCATGATCCTTTGCTCCATTTCAGTGTAGAATCAGTGTTAAATCTTAGTTCTTTGGATTAAGTCTTGTCAAGGCATTTTAAGATAAAAAAGTAGCAAATTCACAGTTTTGTTAACCTCCACAAAATATCACAATAAATATACTGTGAGGTTCATTTCGTGACAGTATCGTATCGTGAGACTTGAATATTGTTACACCCCTATTATCTATTTTTAAAAGTGCACTTCAGGCAGATTGACTGGCGTAAAAGAACACATGTTGTGCTTAAGCCTGCTATATAGTTATAATTTACGACACCCGTGGATCATTATGTTACCCTTTGCACATTTTAACTCACAATATTAATTTAAAATGGTTTAATAAAAGAAACAAGTCCACTGATTTCCGCGATAGAAAAATGTGGTGCCTAAAGGGAGCTGACGTCACCGTGAACGCCACTACAACAAAGACACATCTTATAATATCATGTAACGCTGCTGAATCCTCTGTGTATCACCAGTTAAGAGAATAAAATTGAAGGAAGATGTAAGTATAAAACAGTGGTGAAAATAGAAGTTGATACGCAACATGGCATCTCGAAAATAAGTGATTAAAGATTGCTCAAACATGCACGAATCTCTCTAAATCCAACTTCGAGAGGGTGAGCTAGAAGGGGAAAGAGCTATCACATGAGCTCTGAAAAGTCGATTTCAAGCTGCCCCAAGCTGAGGGAAGGGCATCTGGTACATACATCTATGCCAAATCAACTTGATGATCACTGCGGGGTTGTAGAGTCAGATGATTTGTAGTTTTGACCCCCCCTTCCCCCCCCGAATGTAAAAGCTCAAAATTAATCACCACTTAAAAACATCTCGAAAACAAGTCTTGCATTGTCGCCGTAATGACCATTTTAGTGGCAAAAATCCTGAATCGATCGACCACCCAAACACCCGCCCACCGCCCACTGCCATTCCATCTCACTTAAAAGCTGTAATATATCCGCGCTCTGCTTTGATTGAGGCGGGGGGGGGGGTTTCTTCTTCTTCTTCTGCTGTTTTCGGGCCAAGGCGACGGTCCCGGCACGCGTCGCAACAGCGGCCCCGTAACATATGCCGCTCTGGGCCTACAGGAGGAAGAGGAGGAGGAGGAGGTGGGGAGGGCAGCTGGCGTGTGTGGGGGTCACGGGGGTCTACAGCTGTGGAGAGCAGGGTGGTACACCGACAGAGATACCCCGAAGGAGAGCGCGCCGTTTGTAAGCGAGAAGTAAAGGTCCAGATGGTGCGTGGCGGTGCAGACGGGCGAAATGGGAATAAAATGGAGATCAGAGAGAAGGCACAGGAGAAAGCGTCTGTTCAAGGATATAGTGTCAAAAGTGGGGTTACAGTCAGGAAAGAGGTTATTATCAGGGAGTCAGTGGGGGATACAAGACTACAGTGGACCAGGATAAGTCACAGGGGTGCACCAAATGTGTTTCGTCATAGATCATTATTAGTGGCCTTGTTATTATGAAGTTACTGTGTTTTAAAGCGGACCTGTTATGTTTTGTTACTTAAAGGTGTACTATACTATGTAACTTTTTCACTGGGGGTCCGTCACCTGCTTTTTTCTATGGATATGTCATTGCTCTCCCTGGAATGTTTCACAGTATGACATTAAATAGATCCAGCATAGATTTATTTGATTACAGGTGGTTTTATAGCTCAAAAATACCAAGAGAAACCAGCATTCTGACTGAGCGCTGGGTTTAGTCTCCATGAAGATACAAAGGGTTAATGCCATACTGTGAAACATTCCAGACAAAGCAATAACATGTCCATGGAGAAAAGCATTTGAGTGACCACCCACCAGAAAAGTTAGACAATGCACCTTTAAGTAAAAGTATCACATGAAAAAATCTGCTTAAGTAAAAGTATTAAAGTACCCATTTAAAAGTGACTTGAAGAGTAAAAGGTAAAAGTATTTTGCGGATATTTTGAGGTCTTATAAAGCTTCATATGTCAAGATTTGTACTGAATTTTGTCCAGAACAAAACAATTTAATCAGTTATTTTTTCTAGCTTTTTTATTTGTACAATACATGTGTTAAAAATAAACCCTCAGCCTCATAAAAAATACTTTTACTTTTCCATAAAAAAATGTTGTGGAGTAAAAAATACAAATATCTAAACCATACTGAAATAAAAGAAAGTATTCACTTTAAAATCTAGTACAAAAAACTTTTATTTTTTTATTTTATTTTATTTTATTTTTTACTTAAGTACAGTTCTTCTTCTAATAAGTTTTCTTTGTGACCTTCCATCACTACTTTTAACCATATTATAGTTGTTTCCCCTCACCATTTACTCACTCACTCACTGAAGTTGTATTTGGAGTGATTTATGCATGTTTGAGGAATCTTTAATCTCTTGCTTTAAAGACACCATATGATGATGAGCCCTCGTTTTGTTTTGCAGTTTTATTTTCTTAATCAGTGATAAGGAAATCAGCAGACTTGCTTTTTTATTAAGTCATTTTAGATCAATATTGCAATTTAAAAACATATTATGCATAATAAATTAACATTATTTAATCTAACTTAATGCTTTTTTATCATTTGCACTCGGTTTTGTTTCATCAAAACTTTTGCTCTTTTTTCAGGTTTCTTTTCAGATTCTATTCTGGTCTTGGATGCAGACCCGAACGACAGCGTGGGTGAGTACTCACACTCTCATGCTGAATGCAGCGCACTTTGACACCAAATCAACCAGATGTCTCCATCTAGTGGTAGTGTTGTTCTAGTTCCAGTTAGTGGTTGGCCTTCACTTTTCCTATATACCCACAAGAGGGCGCTCTGAGCCTGTCATAACCTGGTGACTGGTCTCCACAACCAGTGAAATCACAAAGTTTCTACTTTTCTCTGTAAATGACCTCATATATGTTATGTTATTAAATTCATTTGGACCCATATTTATAATTACCAACAAAATTGTGGCAATGCACAAAAATATTTAATATCATGAAATAGCAATAGAATTTTTCATAGAATAGAATCATTATAATTTAAAAAAAATATGTAATGGTCACTCCTTTCGGGCAAATAATAATAATAATAATAATAATAATAATAATAATGGTTTGGATTGCATTATGCAGTTTGGACGATGCTGTAGCAAACTACCAAAGCCACAGTCTTTTGCTCTGGTTGAATGTAGCCAGCATTAAGTTATCAAACATGAGATTGCACCAAAAGCTTGTCAAGAGAATAAATTTAATTTTTTTTTTAAACTGTAAACAATGCCATCATAATACAATATTCATGCCCCACCGTAATGTTTTTTTTGTGTGGAAATACTGCATCATTTTACATACAAAAGCAAAAAAAAAAAAAAAAAAAAAAAGACCATCTAAATTTAAAAATTCCTTGAGGCTGAAATGCCAAAAATGCAGAGGAAACAACGGGCAGCAAAAGGCCACGGGGTGAGTTAGTGGTCCAATGTTAAGGTCCAGGTTCAGGCGAAGTTCAGCCAGCACTGCCCTGGGTCCTAATGTCCAGGTGGCACCACGAGAGGTCAGGGGTCACGCGCAGTTCACAGAGCGCTGACCCCACCGTGACTGCGCCGTGACCTGATTGTGTACGGGCCCATCCCATTGAGCGCAAAAACCAAAGGAAGAGGAACTATTATAAACCCGCGCGCTCATTCAATAGCCGCCATTGTTGCCGATTGGGTTGTAAACTTGACGAGGTGGCCCAGCTATGGCAGCCTTGGGCCCATTTCTCTGTCCGACCCCATTCTCCTCCGCTTTCCTCCACGCAGGATGCCCCGGTCGGTGCACGTCCCAGGGCAGGGGTGACGCAGGGGTCAAGGGTTGCCGAAGCTGCTCTCCCCAGGCTTGTAAACCGCTTGACAGGGGTGGGAATTGAGAGACCCCCATTCAGTGACCAAAAAACCTGGGTCAGGAGGCCAAATAGCTGAGTTAGCAACAGCTGTTTTCGACACTAGCCCTTGCAGCTAAACTCTGAAATTTAAAATAATCCCCCAATTATTTTTGTCCTTGACCCCACAGGCTTGCCGTAGATGTTTTTTTTTAGGCTAAACTCAGATTGGGCCACCACGGCAGGAGCAGTTGGAGAGCTTTATTGGGCATTGATCTGCGGTTCAGAGGGTTATAAAAGTTGTGGAGTGTATCCCAGCGCAGATGTATCCTTTTCGACAGTGCTAGTAAAGTTCAGCAAGTCTATAAAAGCGCTCACTTAATCAGACGCGCACCTCTCAAACCAATTGGACAGTATTTGCATTTTATTTTTTATTGTTAACGAAATGTTTTGTCAGTAGCGTCTATAGTTTTCAGTAATAATACATAGAAATAATGAAGCGCAAACTCCATATTTATAACATTTCACATTGTGTTTTGCTTTGTGGCTCTTCCCTGTTGACCCAAAGCCAACCCCTCCCTCCTCCTTGTTTTTTAGTGCGGCTGTCAGCTGACCAATGCTTCATAGATTTATCCAGGTCCCATTGACTACCTCTGTTTCGTGGTTAATCATTCACAGATGCCCATCCCAAACAAGGGGCTCGCTCTTCTCCACTTTTGACCCCGACTGGCCAAACTGTTACACAACTGTACTTTTCTTCTCGAAGCCTTGATTGGCATTCTTCACATTACACAACATTGCCTTTGTCTTGTTTTGGACTTGGCTCGATTTTGGGTGACCGTGGAGCTGCAGCATTTTTAGACTTCATAGATTTCCATAGTCGGCGCAAGAATAGCAAGAGACAATTTCCGCTTGGTATACGAAGCCACCGTAAACCAGATTTTGGTCCAGCTAGGCCGAAGTAACTCTTAATTATAGCCTCTGCTCACTTATCCAAGGTGCCCCAGTGACTTTGTGTCCTTTGGCAAGACACTTTGCACAAACCGCCTTGCCTCCAGCGCCCCGTGTGCATTAGTGGAGGCTAAAATTTCAAAGTCAATTTTTAGACTTCATAGATTTCCATACGCTTCAAAACGCCAAGTTTATTTCTGTGTTTGGTTATTTTCTTGCACTGCTGTTAGCCATTTATAATCTCGCCAGATCTTGGCTCAAGGCAGTTTAAAACATTTTCATTTTCTGGTACAGCTGAGACAAGTATGCATATTTATCTGGTTAGTAATTACTTTGAGTGCTTAAGCTTAATTTGAGCTGATTGTGGGCCTTTCATTAAACTCATTCATAGCTTTTCCCTCTCGGAGTAGGGTTCATTGATGTAAATAATCAAATACAGTGTTATATTTACGAAGATCGAGATTCTGTCCCCCATAATCGTCAATGATCAGCTTGGGTCTTTTCAGTGAGGAATCAACTAGCATTAGTAATAGCATTTTGATGTTTTTATTTAATAATGCCCACTCTCTTTGTTATAATAAAGGTCTTTTGTTTTAGAGTCTGTATCATCTGATTATCTGATCATTTATTATAGTTGACTCGTAGCAATTAGTTCAGATTTTGCAGAAACAAAGTTTTTGTTAAATGGCAATGATTAAACGTCTTTGTAATCGTGCATGTTCAGGAAATCCACATTTTTGTATTTGCTTTTAAAGAGCCCATACTACGCAAATTTCTAATCTATGTTATAATGTTTCTTCATGACAAACACGCCTGGAGTTGTGTTTTTGTTTCATTCACACATGTTTAACACATAAACATATGCATATCAAGGCGGAGTTCTTCTCTCAAACAAAAAATGCTCTGTTCCACCTTGTAATGTCATGTGGTAATACAGTCTCTATGTTTTGAAACTCCATGCACCTTTGCTAGAATCATTTGGACAATTTCAGACCTGGAATTTCCAATCTCTACTGAACAAAAGGTAAAAGTCAGCTGTAAACTTGAAAACTACTGTTTCATGACATCACAAGGTGGAACTGAATGTTATGAGTTTTGGAAATGTAGACAGACTAATAATAAAAAAAATATTCCAACATGTGCAAACCATACACAAGTCTGGGTATGTTTTGAGGAAGTAAAACTATTCTAACACAGCTAAAAGCTCACCAGGACCTTTAATAAGACAAAATAAAGTAAACATTTTAATTGATCATTCTATTTTAAGAAAAAAAAAAATCTCAGTTTAAATTTCACAAACTACACTGGCCTACAAAGAACCCTAACCCATTCACACTCTCGCACTCTTTCTTCACCACTCTTTCGCTACACTACCCCGTTCTTCCATGAGGGGGCAGCGTCTTCTCACCGGGCCCCTCTCCCTGTCCTATGGCCCTCTCCCACGTGCCACCTGGACCCTCTGAACTCCCTCTCCCATATGGAACTACTTGGCTCCGAGCGCATGCCTTTCCTTTGTCCTCACATAACAGGGCCAAGTCCAGCCTGTGTCCACAAGTCACTCCAGAGCACCGCTACAGTTTCACTTTCTGCGCAGTGTGACGCGGGATCACATCTCTTTCTTTGTTCCTGTCCAGAGGTTTCGGCGTTTCAAAAAAGCGGGTTTTGCGACGTCTCCCAGGCGCACGAATGGAAATTGAAACGAACTGGCCACTTTATTAGGCACACCTGTTGTAACACCATCAAACGCTGTATATTTAGAGACACTTTGAAGACTTGTCCTGCTGGGGTTTGAGGCAAGCAATGGACTAGAATAGACAACACAAAGGATTCAGGTTACTTAAAGGTGCACTGTGTGACTTTTCTAGTGGAAGATTTATCACCTGCTTGTCTCCATGTTGATATTATTGCTTAATGATCAAAATGGAGATAGATTAACGTCATTTGAGCTTCAAAACACATATAATTGAACAAACCCAAGGGAGATATGTTTCCATGCCCTACTGTGGAACATTCCAGGCAAAGAAATAACATCCCCATGGAGACAAGCAAGTATCGGATCCTGCACCTTAGAAGTTACACAGTGCTGCTTTAAATTAGGGCTGCTCGATTATGGAGAAAATCATTATAATGGTTATTTTGGTCAATATTGAAATCACAATTATTTGATATAATGATTATTTTTCTGTTACACGATGCATTTATTCAGCATTTCTCTCTAAAAATCGCTCTTTGTTATTGGTAATTTACGCAAACTTCCTCACTGAAAATAAATATAAGCTACAAATATGTACCCAAGAGCAGTTTTGTGATGTATAAAACATAAAATAAATAAAATATACTTTGAATATGAGATAAGGAATAGAAATATATAAATGTAAGTACTAATAATCCCAAAATAAACTTTATTAAGCTTTATACATCATTTCAACTCGATATGTAATGTAAGAGTTTGGAGATCGTTTGACACACAGATCAAAGTTGCGATCAAAATTCAATTAATTGCACCACCTTACTTTAAATGTAATAAAAAAGCACAGAATATTGTTGATAACTCCATTTTCACAGAGTCAGTACAAGGAATAGAAAGAGACAATTTCCAGTTGTTATATGAAACTGTTCTAAACCGGATCTTGGTCCAGCTAGGCAGAAGTAACTCTTTAATTTTATGGTCTGTCCACTTGTGCAAGGTGAGAAGTGGTGTTGTGTCCTTTGGCAAGACACTGGCTAAAATTTCAAAGTCAATTTCGATATTAGGAAAAAGTGTTACTAGTTCTGATACAGCTCAGGGTCTAAATCTATTAAGGAAAGAACCAGCTTTGTCCCATTTAAGTGATGTCTTTTCGATATGGATTACTACTGAAATTAGTCTGCTAATTTTAGTTGCAAT